ATGACCTGCAGCAATCGATGCGCCCCAAACCCCAAATCATCATCATCATCATCATCACATTTGGTTGCACGTGGCATGCTACCGCGAGTTGCAGGTTAGGGTGATGTTTTCGGGTTTTTCATGATATAGCATGATTGCATCCAGGCATCGTCGAAATGCCATGAGGACCCCATTTCCTGTTTCCTCAGTTGTTCCCTAATGTGGCGAACTCTGCGTATCAGGCAGAATTCTATTGCTCGACTACACTCAGCCTGTTATCTTACACCGCATTGTCAGTAATCCTATCACCCAATGTGATGACACTGCGTGCTTGCGTGCGTGCGCGTGCACATGTGTGTGTGTGTGTGTGTGTGTGTGTGCGCGCGTGCACATGTGCATTTGTGCGCGTGCGTGTGCGTGTGCGTGTGCGTGTGCGTGTGCGGGGTAACACTGAGGATGTCAAGCGCACCCCAAAACCTGACTGGTTACCGGCGTCTCTGTATCTCGTCGTGTTGCTGGGAACGTGAGATGTTCCGCTCTTGCGCTGCGACCGAACCGCCTGCCAAGCGCGGGGGGGGGGGGGGGAGGGGACCTGAGCTGAACAGTGCCGGCTTTGCCTCCCTGTTCTGGCTTCTACTTCTCAGTTACAAGCTGACTATTTCCCGTGCAGCGATTGCGCCCCATGGTGCCGACTCGGTCACGAATCATCTGTCAGCAATTGCCGGCATCGCCCTGCCCTTTGTGTCCTACAGTGTTGACTCTGTCCTGACTCGAAGCCAACGGACTTTCTTCACTGGGCTGTGGTTTCGACCTCCTCAGTTGCTGACCTGGCCCCTTGATGCCGTCCCATCGTCGGGTGTCGACTCTTCCGGTGCGCCAGCTTCGCCCTCCGCAATTGACCGTGTCGTGTGGCTCGCCCAGGATGGTGGCACCCCCTTTTGCTTGAGGTACAAAAACGTGTTGAGAAGCCTTCAAGAGACCGAGAAGAAGATGGACTGCCTGGAGGTGTTCGTGTCGCACGACTCTTACCCGCCGCAGCACGAGCTCAGCTACCTGGTGCACGATATCATGCTGGTGAGCGCCGGCCGCGGGGGCGGCAGCGGCAGCTGCCCGCGGTGCTCTGCAGGCCGTCGCCACTTCCAGTACACATGTAGGACCTCTGAAAGAGCCTTTAGACATGAGTTAGTGAAGTGCACGTTTGTCCTGTTTGCCGTACAGGCTCATTGTGTGTATTAATAAGTTTTGTTTTATTCATGTAATGCTGTGGTGATAATGCAAAAGCTCTCCATAGTTGAGCACGACAGTCACTTTAGCCACCCCAGCGACCTCGTGACTACTCACTTTCATACGATTCAGTAAAGTGAGCTTGAATTCGCTCATCGCTGCTTCACGTATCACTCATCACCCCGCGTGCTGCAGCTGCATGAGTGCCGCGCACTGACTGCCCCCCCCCCCCCTCACTGACCCAGCGCTGGCCCGTCGACAGGTGTCGGAGGACGAGACACTGCTGCGCCGCTGTCTGCGCCTGCTCCGCGTGGTGGCCGGGTACCACGCGCCACACTCACAGGCCATGCGCGCTGTGTGGTATGACGCGCTTGCGGTCGACTCTGTCCCGGTGGGTGAACGGCGCTGGTGGCCACTGGCCAGGCGTTCTCGGTTGTGGGTGCCGTTGGTGGGGGTGTGGTCGGTGCGAAGGGGCACAAGGGAGAGGTGTTCAGCCGGCGCGGGCCGCTCTGCTGGGCCGACGGGCAGGAAAGCCCGATGCAGGAGCCGGGAGCAGGAGTAGACCAGGCAGCTGTGCCAACGGTTGAGCCGGAAGCTTTGTTGTCAGGGCTGAACGTACCAGTCTGGTGCTTTCGAGCCAACAGCAGGCCCACTGTAAGCCAGCGGTCACATCGCGCCTCGTGATCTCTGGCTGACGACGAACGCGGCGTGATTAGTGGCCGCCGGAGACGCCACGGTCCAGACCCGGCAGTGCAGTTGCGCTGATCGGCTGCGCTCTGGCTGCCGGCAGATCGCGTACGTGCTGGAGAAGGCGAGGGGCCGCTGCCTGGACGCCGGACTGCCATCGCGCTGTCACGTGCCGCTCACCGAGTTCTTCGACTTCCTGGTGACGCTGCTAGAGGAGGACATGACGGCCTGGAGCAGCAGGTCTGTGTGGCGGGGCGTCTCGGAGCGAGCTGCTGTGTGACCTCCGGGTCGCAGTTGACCGCAGCCGCCGCCTGAGGCCCGGGCCGGGCCGGAACGGGCTCTCCGTAATCGGAGCGGGGCCACTCTGACTCATTCAATTCGGCGGATCCTGTTTTGCAGCGGGATTTCGGCATGTTAGTGTCCTGTGCAAACTGCAATCCATTATCGTCGTGCTTAGATGCCATGTTTCCCCTTTCGCAATCACTTGCCCTTTTGGTCTGCTGGTCGTTGGTTTGGGCTGTTCTTTTTGGCGAGCCTCGTCCGTGTCCTCCGTTCGGTGGCTGAGCGCTGGCCGCCCGTCTGTGTCGCAGACTGGCACGAGCCGTGTCCTTGCGCGCGTGAGTTGGTGATGCCGGGCTGCGCTGATCTGCCTCGGGTGGCGACAGCTGAGCGGCGGCCTGCTCGGTGGCCTGTGCGGTGCCAGTGTTGACCGACAGACCGGTCCGTGCCCGACAGTGCGCTCGCGGCCCGGCGGCTGCAGGGGCGGCCAGCGGGGCGCCCGCTGCTGGCGCACGTGGTCTGGCCGTGCGGCGAGCCGGGCTTCAGCCGCCACGACACGGCCAGCATCTGCCAGTGGCTGGTGACCGCGCACGTCGGCCCGGCCGACATGACCATGCGGCTCTTGCTGCTGGTGAGACGCCGGCTGCGACGCTCGCGCCACCGCCGCCGCCGCCGCCGCCGCCGCGGGCTGACGACGGTGGTCTCGCAGCTCTCTGCACAGAGCTGTATGGTGTTGTCTGCATCGGTTTAAAGCGCAGAACAACGGCGGCATACCGTTTTTCAAACGCATAGTTCAATTCTTGCCAATCCTGAGCATTTTGTTCCGTGTCACTGTCGTTGCCATGACATATGGACTCTCTTCGACACGGCGCGCGGCCGTGACACACCTACGGTCGCGCTTTCGGGCCGCGTGCCGACCTCTCCGCGTGACGTGACCCCGCTGTCGACTGTGACAGAGACTGATGGCTATGGCGGCCGGCCTGGTACAGATCAGCTCTGAACGCGAGGACTTCCCCAAAGTCAGTGAGGGCATGAAGGAGCTGGCTATGGAGCTGGCCAGGACCGTGGAGAACGCAGGTGTGTGTTCTGTGACCAGCCAGGGCGACGGGTCTCCCCCTCTGCCCCCCCCCCCCTTCATTTGGTGTCCGCTTTAACATATCTGGAACAGATGGTGCTACTTTTATTGCGTTTTTGGTGTGGTCTCATTTTGGGTGCGATTGTATGCTCCCAACCCTCGCATGGTCCTATCGTTCATAGAACCCTGGCCGTCGGTCTTGTAGCGTTCTTCTGCCTAGCCCCATCTCGCTTGTTACCATGCCTTCCATGTCTTCCGTTTCTCCCCGTCCCTCCCGTGGCGTAGTCTTCTAGGCTTCCCACCCATTATGTCCCGCTGCGACCGTGCCGGCCCTGTTCCCTGACCTGACGCCGAGCGTGGCTGGGCCGCAGACCTGCCGCCGGCCGCTGTGGAGGAGCTGCTGTGCTCGTTGCGGCCGGCCTGGCTGTGCGCCTGGACGGCGGCCGGCTTGCTGGAGTCGCGCTACGGTCGCTTGCGGCCGGCCCAGCTGTCGCTGCAGGTGCTGGCGGACACCTACCTGATGCCCGAACGGCGGGACGCGCGGCGGCCGTCGCCCGCCTGCACCGAGAATGAGAACAGCTGGTCTGCCGGACCGCAGGTGCGCAGAGCCGTCTGGTCCGCCGCTGGACGCGCGTGTCGACGATGATGAGGGCGGGCGCGGCGCCGGTCCCGGTCGCACCCGGCCACGCCTTGTGTGGCGGTGGGATGGGCGCGGCGCCGGTCCCGGTCGCACCCGGCCACGCCTTGTGTGGCGGTGGGATGGGCGCGGCGCCGGTCCCGGTCGCACCCGGCCGCGCCTTGTGTGGCGGTGGGACGGGCGCGGCGCCGGTCCCGGTCGCACTCGGCCGCGCCTTGTGTGGCGGTGGGATGAGCGCGGCGCCGGTCCCGGTCGCACCCGGCCGCGCCTTGTGTGGCGGCGGGATGAGCGCGGCGCCGGTCCCGGTCGCGGGCGCAAGCTTCGACTCGTGTCGTGACGGACGCTGGCGGCGGTTGCAGGTGTCGTTCGCGGCGAACGGCGAGAGATCGAAGGACGTCGCCGGCGCGGCGGCGGGCCGCAAGCGGTGCATTCAGTCGCCGCCGGTCAGTCCGGCCCGAAAGCGGCCGTTTGCCGTCAACGGAGTCGACGCGGACGGTGAGCTTTCGCCGCCCTGCCGCCTCGGATGGCGGCCGGTGTCTGGGAGCGGCGTGCGTGTGTGCTGCTGTCCGTGGCGGCCGCTCGGGTGGTTGCGTTGAGCTTGTTTGCTTTTGAGCCAAGTATTTGCGTGATGAGGGATGGACAACGGACGGGAAGAAATAACGGGGTAAGGGAGTTCGCTATGGCTGTCCAGTTTTGGAGAGTGACCGAAATAGAGCGATTATTGTTCAGTGACCACCGCAACATTTTCGGGGATTCAGTAATTCACTGTGTTGGGAATTTTATTGTCATGCAGCAAAACTCATTCAGCCTCTCTTCATGCGGTTGGTGCGGCGTCCTTTCTGGTTGTCAAAATCTGCCACCAATACGAAAAATCGCCTGAGACCAAAGTTTTCTTTAAGTTCTATGGCCCGGTCTGTGAAAAACGACGAGCCTCTCGAAAAGTTGCTGTCACTGCCGGGCACCCCTTTACCCGGGGCCGTCTCCTTAAAGTTCCACTACTTTACTCATCAGACGCATTTTGTGACGTTAGATAATTGTTACGATAACAGAAGTATTGCAAAATGCGCAAATATTTTGGTGAATGGTGTTCACAGTGAGCATGAATAAGCACCTTTGCAGTTGTAAGGCCCAATCTTCCTGGGTTTTGCCCCCAGCCTTTTGCACTTGAAGTCGACTCCGAAAAAGTTAGCAGTGGCTGTTTTTCGGTGAACAAGTGACGCCCGCCGTCAGGGGTGGGCAGTTTGGAGATCCGTCTGGGAGTTGTAGCCGGTACATTTGCTTACACCGGGCAATTAGGTTCACGTATCCGTCCCCTCTGGCTGCCAAAATCTGCCTTTAACGCCTAAAATCGTCCCAAACTGGCGGATCCGTGCTATGCGCGCCACAGGACAGACCGCCTGCACACAGTAACCTACGCTTTTGGCGGCTGGATCGTCCGTGTTGTCCTCTGTCTGGCCCCATTAGTCTCGTGTCACTGCAATAGAGAGTCGTCAAGGTCAACGCGTCCTTAACCTTCGTTTTTCCACCTTTTGCACAAAGCAGGTTTTACCTTTTTCATCTCATTGAATTGGGGAGTCCAAATTGGGGGTGATATTGCAGTGCTGCAGAGAAAACGTTGTTCGGATTTGCTCACCTTCTTCCATACTCCTTCTGTCCATTGTGCCGTTTCCAAGCCACACTCTCGTTCACCCGGTCCCTGCGGCCTGCTGCGCTGTTGCTGTGACCTTTGCGTGGGGTGAGGCCGCCAACCTCCCCGCTTCACTCCACCCCACTCCAATCCAATCCAATCCAATCCACTACACTCCAATCCACTCTACTCCACTCCACTCCACTCCACTTCACTTTACTTCACTTCACTCCATTTCACTCCTGTCCACTTCACTCGGCTCCAGCCGCATTCCTGTCTGACCGCCAGTGACTTGGGCTGCTCCGCACGTAGTGATTGGGACTGTTTGCGTCTTGGACGACATGTGCTCGACTGAGCGCATCAAGAGACGTGTGGTCTGCGACGCTCAGTACGGCACGCCCCCGTGGTCCACAGGCTTTGGTGCTGACGTCTTGTTCGACTGGAACGGCCCTGTCCCGTCGTGTCCTGATACGCACATTGCACATCCCTGCTCCCAGGCCTGACGTGCTGATTCTTGTGCTGCCCGCTGACCTGACCCGATTACCCGGCTGATCCAGCGCTCTGGTTCCGTGTAGTATACTGGTGTGGTGTTCAAATATCGTGCAATATCGGGACATCACGTAAAGGTGTGACCTGGCACGATGTCACCGAACGACACGGCCTGCTCACTTGATCGTGCACTCTGCCTCTTCCCGTGGACCCAGCCCCACCGGTCATGGGCTGTGGGAAAGCCTGGCACATCCGGCTGTTGCGATAGCGTCCAGTAGCGGCTGTCATCACGTCATTTTCTGCGACGTTGTCGCTGCAAGGCACTGCACTGGGGAGTGGTCGTTCGTCGGCCTACCGTGACGGGCTCCCCCCCCCCCCCCCCCACGTCTGGTGGCGCCTCTCCTGACCTGTTGCTGCGCCATCCCGCAGACGAGCGCACGGCCCCGCGAGACGGCGCGAGCGCGCTCCCGCCGGATCCGGACGAGGCCAGCCCGGCCGCACCGGCCGCCGCCTCGCGCGACTACTCTCTGCTGGCGCACCACCTGCTCACCGGGTATCTGCTGCACTCGGGCGTAACGGAGGTGCGCGTGCTGCTGGCCCGCCGGATGAGCAGGCCGGCAGCGGCGGCAGTGAGCGTGCGCACTCCGCCGCGCTGTCTCGACGGCGCAACCAACGTCCAGTACAACGGGGAGCTGCGCTTCATTGAGGAGCGGCTGTGGAGATGGGTGGTGAACCGCTGGCTCCATCCGCGCTTTGCGCGCTACATGCGCAACGTCACGAAACTGTGAAGGCGCGGCCAGCGACCTTTTCAGAGTACAAAGGTCTGGCCAGTAGAGCTCAACAATGAATCCACGTGATATTGATTTGGGAGGCGAGACCAAGCCCATTGCAAGTAGAGCCTCCAGTACAATTTCATGCTGCGCTGCCGGCTTTATCACGTATGACATTGAGATGTGGGATTACGCTATATCTAGTCGTTTGCGGGGTTGTGAGACATGTTGAAGTTTGGCTTTGCCTCATGATTTGCTGCAGTTATGAACTTTTCGCGGTGAATTACTGTTTATATCAGTGAGGATCTTTCCAATGGATTTGAAACGCACAGAAAGTTTGTTTGGGTAAGACGGGTTTTCGCTTACGCTTACGCGCGACTTGCACTGTATTTTATATGAATTTGCTGCATGTGTGTGTGTGTCTTATGCTACATGTTTTCCAGACTGAACTCATTTTTTATCTTTGCCGTCCACCGCATGCCTCGACCAGGTGAATCGTGTGTGTCTTGGAGACAAACGCTCAAGGTCGTGCGTGGTAGCCCGTCCCACCGTTGCCTCTGGTGGGAGGAGGCAAATGAACACGCATAATTGTCTGGAATGTTTGAGTAACCTTGCAGTACACCTGGAGATTTGTTGCATTGTCACAAGCTGATTGATGCAGTTCCCGACGGCCGTTCGGCCGCCTGAGTTAGAATACTCGCAGGTTGTGGCGTCTCCGTACGCCGCGATGTACCTGATTCGCCTGTGATTGGATCAATGTGTACCGCTCGTCCAGATGAGTGCCTGGGAGATCGCCGCCGAATCATGCTGCCAAACTCATCCGGCTCATCCGTCGTGTTATCCGTCTCACCATGCTTCATTGCTAGAGAACTACTCTCAGCTCACGCATAGAGTAAAGTAGCCCCCAGTTGGGACGACCAATGGCAGTGAGAGCCTTAACGGGTGTCTACCTCTTGTATACGGTCCGCCGGGCGCTTCTAAATTAGGGTGCTGCCGCTGCTGCAAATACAGATTGGTTGAAGTGGCCTCCTCTTGCCAAGCGCCGCACGCTGAGTCAACGCAAGCAAACTTGACGGGTGAACTTCCAGCGGATTTTTTCAGGATTCTTAAACAGACAGTTGTTCTCTGCGCACGATGAATGGTCGCTCACGCTGAAGTCCACGGCGAGCATTGCGGTATTTTTCATCAAGAGGGCGGCCTGGCTGCAGCAGATTTGGCGGTCAGACGAAGCTCGTTTCCATTTGAACTGTTGAGTTAGGCAGTAGAAATATCGCTGCCGTGGAGCTTGAACCGCCAAAAAACTTCCCGAACGACCTCTGCAAGCCGCAAGCGCACCTGCTGGTGCGCCGATCGCTCACGAGATGACCTTTGGCCATTCCCGTCCGAGACAAATAATGGGGAAAGGAAGCGGCCCCTGTGAGCACCGCCGATGTGGGCACGTCCTCAAACATGCCGGGAAAACTGATGCTTGCAGCTTGTGCTGACATTACGTGTGCTAACAGGACGCGTGTATGCGTGGTGAGCGTTCCAACACATGTGCCAACCACATACGGTTTCTGAAGCATTGTATGGCGGTGGGTCACTTCGGAGATCGACTCTGAAGCATTGGATGGCGGTGGGTCGCTTCGGACTTCGACTCATCGCCTGGGGAGTACGTGCCATCACGAAAACAAAGGTGAAGCTCGTATTTGATGGCATGTCTATATGAATGGTTAGCATTAACTATTGATGCAAACTGATAAAAGCAAAGCATACTTAGTGATACTCAAACTCTCGTACATTCCGAAAGTCGGGTAAATACACCTGCGCCGCGCTCGTCGACCCACTGCTCCGTCTTAGCTCCGCTGGCTGGGGTGCAATCAAAGGGACAGACTCGGACGACCGAGTCCTGGCCCGTGGTGTGCCGCGCGACCCTCGACCAGCATCACTCCGCTCGTGTCCGATAGATGGCAGCACTCAACGTGTTGGCCTCACGGACCGGCGTGGTGGCCACACGCACCGGTCTGGTGGCCACTCGGAACGGTCTGATGGCGACACGGAACTGTCTGATGGCCACACGGAACGGTGTGATGGCCACACGGGACGGTCTGATGGCTACACGGAACGGTCTGATGAGCACACAGGACAGTCTGATGGCAACACGGAACAGTCTGATGGGCCCATGGAACGGTGTGATGGCTACACGGGACGGTCTGATGGACACTGGACGCTTCCCGGCAAGCGCGCTTGCTCCACAATGTGTAGACATATTGGCACGCCCACCTGTCAGCCGGCAGCTGGTATGGTTAGGTTTATCCACTTTATCACAACCGTTTTTTTTTTTGGTAAGGTTTACGGAGCCTTTGCCAGCAGCTGGTTGTAAAAGAACTGCAACTGCAGAGAGCGACAGCAAGCTCAGCCTCAGGCGTCGCCCATGGGACTCATCTCAGGGGGGCTTTCCAGCAGTCGTGTGTGGGTTTGCCCGATGTGTGAAATACGCCGGCACAGTGCCGTGGAAACCTGCGAGAGACATTCCCTCGGCTTTTCATTAACGGGTTCTTTTGAACGGTTGCCTGCTACGTTTTTGTAGGGGCCAGCTCATAGCCAACTGGATGTGGCAATGGCATGGACGCTTGAGAGACGCCTCCAAACGACGATGTCGATTATTTTTAGCTCCTTTCGTGTGCAGGTGCTTTTGTGTGGCCGGAGCTGACTGGCGTATACCATAAGCGCTTATTCATGCCTGGGGCCAGTGCTGTGCTGTCGGTCTCGCCCGGTCTCTCCATGGTAATAGCACCACGCGCCAGCTGGAAACCACGTGCCATAACAAACGTCGGCAGGATCGCCGGCCACACTGGCAACTCCCGAGATAGCTAGCGAAGACCACCGTCGACACACACGTAGATAAACGGCTGCCACGACGCTGAGCGCAGTACGCTCCGTCGCGTACGGCGCGCTCTGTATACTCTAGCCGTGATGATGGCGATGTCCGCGATACCCGGAAGCGGTCTTCCCGGGTCATCTTTCTCAGAACGCGCCATTTGGCTGCATGCTTCCGCCGGCTAGGCAAGGTCAGGCAACGCGCCTGCTACCCCGGCCCGCTGTGCAGTGCACTGTCCACCATTTGTCTCCGACTGTCATCAGCCGGCGCTGTCACGGACGAGCCTTGACCGCTGGACTCTAGGCCCGGACTCCAGGAGAGTCACAGCCCTGACCGCTGGACTCTGGGCCCGGACTCCAGGAGAGTCACAGCCCTGACCGCTGGACTCTGGGCCGGGGCTCCAGGAGAGTCCTAGCCTTGGCCGCTGGACTCGGGGTCCGGACTTCGGCAGAGTCCCAGCCCTGACCACTGGACTCTGGGTTCGGACTCCAGGAGAGTCCTAGCCCTGACCGCTGGACTCTGGGCCCGGACTCCAGGAGAGTCCCAGCCCTGACAGCTGGACTCCGGGTCGTCATGTCAGGAGAGGCGAGGCGATTCGGAGGCGCGACATTTGACGGGCGAACCTCGTGCTCCCCCGGGCATGAGTGTAGTGGGCAGCACCGATAAATAGCAATAACACCGACCAAAGGCGTGGGTCACAGGATTTTGGCTACTTACTAAAACGGTTGCACATCGGCTACTGCACCGTCAGATCTCCAGTTTTCAGTCTCCTGCCGCCACACTGTGGGGTGAGCAGCACTCACCACAGCTCAATAGCTCAGCTAGCTCAGCTTAATAACTAGCTCAGCTCAATAGCTCCTGTCCGCGATGCCACTTATCGGCACTGACCTACACTTCCTGCGCAGCTAAAACTCACAGAGACTGAGTTTCGTAAACTTACTTGAAGGAGAGTGGGAAAAACAGTTTTTCCGGATTTGACCCACTTTCTTCCGAATAAGAAACTGCACCCCCTGTCGTAGGGCCCCCTCCCCCTCCTCCCGTCCGTGCCCGTCGCTTCCGTCCCGGCAGGGCCTGCGCCGTCGCCCGGCGCGTGGAGCGCTGGAAAGTCCCGCCGGCAGCCCACGTGACCGCCTCCCCTCCCCGGGGGCCGCGGCGCGGTGTTTATACCGAGCGACCAGGCGGCTGCCGGCAGATCGCTGGCGGCCGCGGCGCGGAGGCATATACACGCGGGCGACCCGAGCCGGCGGTGGTGACAAAGGCTGGCTCAGCCATGGCCACGGCGGCGCTTAAGTGGGTGGTCCTGGTGTGTGCTCTGGTCGGCGCTGCTCTCTGTCAAGGTGAGAACCCTCGTCGGGAGGGGAGGCGAGGTGCGCGACATGGGGCAGCGGGGGTTAGCGTTAGAGGCGGCAACGACGCGAAAGACGTGGGAGATGTGTACTTGCAACTTTCGAAGCGTGGGGACTGTCCCCGCTATGTCACAGGGACCCGAAATTGTCGGACAAGTGTGCACGAGTTCTCGTCAAGCGGGTAAACGCGCAAAATCCTACGCGGTACCCTAAACGCTCGGCATTAAAATTTGAGGGCTCTCTCGGCCCCCATGGCTAACCCTGTCGCCGTTCCCCACGGCCAAAAAATTGTGCCACCGCCCATGGCCCGCGTGGAGGGGAAGGCGCAGCGGTTGTGCGCGGTGTACGTGCCGGAGAGAAACGGAAGATGTTCGCCGACCTGACCTCGGTGGACGCGCTTTAGGCCAACTTGTGGGCCATGCTGTTAGGATTGTACTCGACTCCGTGAAAGCAATATATGTTGAACCCAGTTGAAATTGATCGCACTGAGCAAACCGCGTTGACCGGATCAGTCCTGATTCAATTTTGAAATGTGAATAGCAATGTAACGACAGCGTCCATACGACCAGTTCATGAACACCAAAATTGCGCATCAAACGTGGTGTCAAGGTCTGTCGTCACAAAATGTGTTATACTAACTTTAATGTGGCTCATAGAAGGGTCCATATTCTCAACTATTGGCCACAGAATGGGCTCAATCTGAGTCGATTTAGGGTTATTAGAGGGTCGTAGGGTCAAAGAAGGGTCACTTACATTTCTGTATCCTCACGACGGGATGGACTCCGCTGCGAAGTCCAATCGTCCTCGGCCCAAAATAGAAACCTTCTCGATGTGAAGTCAGAGCATTGAGCTTGTATAAAAAATGACATGTTTCTGTTCATTTTCATCGGGTTCGACTTTCTCCAAGATCTTGTAAAAGGGCTTTTCTGCACTCCTCATCAATGTGCGTGCCCCGCAGCTTTGCAGTGTCGCGACGCCCCACGCATGGCCGTCTTGGATCCGCTTCTGACGCAGGGCAAGTGGACATGGCTTTAGCGCGCAAATGTTGAGAAGCCTGCAATAAAGGACTTTGGATAATAAGTAGGACGGTTGCGTACCATCACCTAGTACGAAATTATCACGCCAGGCCTTTTCCTCGAGCAAAATCTTACCTTGTCACGCAATTGTACTGGCTGTGTGGCCTAGTTTTGCCTTTCCGCCGTCACAGCCACCTGAATCAGCACGCGGTGTTCTTCGATGGGCGACCTGAACTTCTCGACTTCAGCGCTGCTTGGGCGCTGTGAACATCGCATCTGACCATTTCAAGGGCGGTGACATTACGTAATTACCTGGCTTCTTGTCCTGAGCTGAGCAGCCGAACGAGCCGGACGGCGGCTTTGAGCTGTCCCGGCACATGACGGGCGCGGGTACCGCGGAGTCTGGTCGGCTGTGCTCGTCTGTGACGTCACCTGGTCATCGAAGCCAGGTGGGTGCTTTATTCACAAAAATAGTCTCCCTGGGTGGATCTCTGAGTCACGGATCTCCGAGGTCCCGGGATCGGAATGAAGGATCTTCTGGCATCTTGAGCTTTTTAAAATTTGGTATTCAAAAAGCAAGCAACCGAGCAGACGGAGAAAAGCTTCAAAGTGAGCGACGCGGACGCCTAAGTCGGACGTAACGCGCAAGCGAGTCAAGAAATCTGTGGATGTCTTATGTGCGTGCCACTGTATGCAACATTACCGCAACAGCATCGTTGGTGTACTACGCAGTGCTATGTAGTGGACACAATCGTGGC